ATATCTGATATATGAATGGGAAACAACTACTGTGAACAATGTGGCTGATGCAATGAGAACAAATAATTGTAAATGAGAGTACTTGAGAAAGATATGATGTATGTGTTGAGGCATGAGATCATGATTCGAAAAAGGAATGAGGAAACATGTAGCTCTGCCTCGTGTCAGAGTGTCTAGTGAGTGGATGGTGACCCCAAAAAGGGGTTACAACACCCCCCCCTCACCTAGACACTCCGCATGGAGACAGCTAAGTACAAAATAGGATGAAGAAGAGAAAAAGGAAAAAAAAAAAAAAAATGAAACAAGTTCCACAAGAAATCCAGAGCAGCTAAGAGACATGAATACAACCATTAGTAGTTCCTAACAAATGTCCGCGGAGGCGTTCAAAAGGTTCTCTAGTAAGGGACTTTGTAAGGATGTCGGCCAGTTGTTCTTTGGTTGAGACCCATGTCAGTGAGGTTTTCTTCTCGTAGAGCGCTCTATTGGTGATGTGAAATTCCCTCTCCGTGTGTCTTGCTCGTTTGTTAGATGATTCATCCGTCCCAATTTTCACAGCCGCCTGGTTGTCGCAGTATAGTTGTCCTACGTGATCTCTCCTTGTGATGTCTTTCAGGAGTTGTCGAACCCACAGTACCTGTCGAGTAGCAATCCCCAAAGCCATGTATTCCGCCTCACAAGTCGACGCCGCCACCGTTGCCAATCTCCTTGATGTCCACAGTATAGGGCAGCCGTACACCGTTAAGAATATCCCGTATGTCGATTTAGCGTGTTCTCCACCCCACGAAGCATCACAGTAACATTTCAGGATTCCCGCAGTCTTGTCCGGCTTGATAATCATTGTTTTTTCTTTAGTGTAGGCCAGATAGTTGACCAAGTGACGCACACCTTTCCAGTGGGAAGGGCCAGGACAGGCCGAAAATCGTGCTAGGAAATTCACTGCAAAGGAAAGGTCAGGTCTGGTAGCCACTGCCACATAGCTCAGAGACATAACCACAGAAAGGTAAGAGGTGCTCGTGGAAGGATCACCCTCCTGTTCAGAGGTGATATCAAGGTTAGCCGGAAGAGGGGTCTTGGTTGTTGACACTCCATCCCAATGTTTCCCAAGTATCTCTTGGATGAGTTTACCTTGACTCAAGATAAAGGAATTGTCTTTTCTCAGAATGTCAACGCCCACCATAGATTCAATTGAATTGCTCCACTTGATTTCAAGTTGTCCTGTCAACGCCTTCTCCAAGTCACGCAGCATTTCACTATTGTCCCCGGTTACTATCCCATCGTCGACATGTATCCAAATCACGCCTGTCTTCTTGGGGTCCTTCAGGACATATAAGCTCGTGTCGTAGTGACTGGCCTCGTAACCTAGATTGCTGAGTATATTCTTCAGGTGGAGCCACCAACACCTTGCCGCTTGCCGTGTTCCGTAAAGTGCCTTCTTCAGTCGTAATCCCTCCCCCTTCTTGAGTACCATCCCTTCAGGCGGTTTAATCCATATTTCTTCATCAATGTCGGAGTTCAGGTATGCTGCAACAAAGTCAAAAGAGTGAACTGGCCAGTTGTTAGCTGCAGCAAGGGTTAGCACCAACCGCATTGACACAAAGGTAGCCGTAGGCGCAAAGGTCTTGTTGAAATCTTTCCCTTCAATTTGAGTAAAACCTTTGGCAACATATCTTGCCTTGTACCGTGTGATACTACCATCAGCCGCCTTTTTGATTGCGAAGACCCACCGTCCATCGAGCTCTTTCTTCGGTGAGTCCATCATCCGAACTTCCCATACGTGTTTCCTGTCGAGATTGCCAAGCTCTTCTTCAACTGCCTTCTTCCAATGTTCCCAATCCACCGACTTTTTGGCCTGTCGGAAAGTATTTGGGACACCGACCGCATAGAAACCACAATTGGCTAGTACGTCGTCAACAATCCGCTCCTCCTGTTCAAAAGACAATTCATGGGAAAAATCTCCTAAGGAAATTGTGTTAGCAGTAGGGTCAGTAGACAACATGGACGAAATTGGATTATGCAGGTCCTTGGGTCTAGCCATCAGGGGTCCTGGTAGATCCTCAAAGCTAGCCCACGCAGAAGAAATAAGTTGGTCAGTTTCCGGTATCCAGAATTTCCACCCTTTGCTCTCCCCTAAGTGAGCAATCACATGACCACGAATCGCTCTGTCCGCTAGCTTTGATCTCTTTTCCGGCGGCGTAACCACGTATGCCACACTTCCAAAGATCCTCGCTCGATCTAACTGTGGTTTATCCCCGAAGAGTGCTTCATATGGGGTGACTTCTCCGCTGGTCTTGTTTGGTAAGCGATTCAGTGTCCAGGACGCCCATTCAAACGCAAAACCCCAGAAACGTGTTGGAAGTTTGCTGTCGCCAAGAACACTCCGGCCCATATCCGCTACTGTCCTGTTGAAACGCTCGACTACTCCATTCTGATAGTGGTGGTAAGGTAGACTGCGCTCGGCCCTGATACCTCTGTTGTGAAGGAAATCAACTAAGTTGTTGTTAGCAAATTCTCCTCCATTGTCACTCCTCAAAACTTTCACTTTTTTATCTGTCTGTCTTTCCAGACGAATTACCGTATCCATGATATGTTTGTTAGCCTCACTTTTGTTAGTCATAATTTTTATTTCATTATAACCGGAGCCCAGGTCTTTTAGAGAAAGCACGTATTTACCACGATTGTAGGTTTCCACTGGGAAAGGTCCCATCAGGTCAACATTCAGAATGTCCAGGGGTTTGACAGACCTGTTTGACCTGCCCAGGTTGTTTGTCCTATTCCCTTTATGTGTGGCACACACCGGACATCGGATCTGACCAGGTGGTAGTTTATCCGGGAGGCCAAACGCTGCTTTTGCCTTGACCAATCGTTTGATAACTCTCAGACTAGCATGACCAAAAATCCGATGCCATAGCAATAAAGCTGCTTCATTTTTGGTCAGATCTTCTGGTCGCCAAGTGAAACTAGGATTGTCTTCTAATGGTGACTCGAAGATATCTCCCGGGTCCCTTTTGTTATCTGTAGTGGGACTTTTAGTTTTTGGCTTAGCTCTCAAACAGTCAGTAGTAACATTGCATATCATTTTTTCATTCCGCAAGATTGAAGAGAAGGAATTGACAATAGATGAATCAGAGGTATGAGAAGAGGAGATAGCATGAGGCAAGGATAAGGCCGAAGACAATGCATTATGAGGAATAAGTGAAAGAAGGAGGGGATCCATCTGAGTTGGGTGGGAGCGGTCTCGGTAAGCACCATTTGTTTGATTCACGGCGGAAGGGACAGGAGAATAGTGGTGTCCAGTCTGGAGCAAAGATATCAAACGAGTCCTGTACATGGTTATACAGGAAACGAGAATTAAACTTCCTCAGAGCTGCTAAAGAGATGAGTGTAGAAGACGCTTGCTCTAAGTAAAGCACGCCTCTAAAAGTTACCATTTGCCCATTCCGGCTCGGAAATGATAAATTCCCCGCTCCTGTGATAAAGGAGCCCCCACTCTTAGTGGCTACCCTGAGAGGTATTGGCTTGAGAAGGACTTAAAAGAACTGAGGGCGTACCTTTGGCCTGTCAAATGATGGGTGGCCCCTGTGTCTAGAACTGGTTCATCTCCCTCCGCCACGGTGAGTTGTCGGAACCTGGGTTGGAATTGATCATCGTCCACATCATCCAGCCTCCCAATCTCGATCATCCGAGTCACAGGTTCCATGGGGCTAGGTTGATGTACGGGTGGTTCATAATGCGACGGGTGCTGCTGATGTTGGTGGTCAAGATGGTGTGGCGGATGAAGTTGATCTGGCGGACCCGCGGCATCTGGTTCGACTTGGTTGGCTGATGGTCGAGGGGACGGTTTGTGACTTGACTGAGGCTGTTGTTGTTTCCTGTAGTCTGGTCGGTACCAGTCTGGCTTTCTTCCTAGGGCTGGGCCTGATGATCCAGGAGGCTGGGGGGAGTACGGACTTGGATGGGACTGGTATCCTTGATTCACGTATCCAGGAGGCGTCACGATGGGGTACCATGCCTGAAAGTTGCCTGGAGTCGTCAATGGTGGACCTCCTCTGCCGGGTAAAAACTGACGAGGAGTTGGTTTCACCATATGGGGTGGCCGGTTGAAATTTGGCCTCCTGGGGTGAGGGCACTTGCTGAGGAGATGATCGGAGGATCTGCAATTCCAGCATTGTAGCCCGTATGTGGCCAAGCCACTGACTTGCCCGATCTGGTCCTGCCACTGAGAAGGATCGTAGTACTCCTTACTCTCGTCAGACAGGCTAGCAAGCGGGGGAGGTAGTTGGGGCTTCGCCGAAAAAACATCGGGCTTCGAGGAGTTGAGCTCAATATGGTTCCGAGAGATGTCGATGTGTTTGAGGATGTGATCCGGCGTGACCGCTTTCCTGGCCATCGTTCTGCTGCCGCTGCACATGTCTTGTTCAACTCTGCGATCGACTTCTCGCCTCAATTCCGAGCCTGCCTCGATAGACGATTGAAGGACCAGTCCGCCGATTGTCTCCCGTGTGAGATCGAGATCAAGATCCGCGAAGTTGTCCAACAGCTCGATCAGTGTCCCCATCGCCTCCGAGCTACTGTTGTAATCGGAGAACTTGAAGGCAGTCAGCTTCTGCCAAGTCATCATTTGTTCGGCCCGGCTAATCGTGTTGAAACGAGACGCCAGATGATGGTACATGTCTCGGCATGTCTTCTGCTTCAAGAGATTACGAACAAGTGCCGTGTCGACCGTCGCGAGGAGCAGCGATCGTCCTACTTGCTCTTGAAACTGATCGGTGCATGCCTTCGAGTACCATAATGGATCGCTGAATAGTTCACGAACCCGCTCACGCATGAACATCTCCCACGTGCTGAAGTTCGAACCATCCGGTTTGAGTTTCTCCGCTGAGGACATTCTTGAGATTTGATTTTGAACGACTTGTCCGACTGTCTTGCCGTGGAACTGATTTGCCTGAAGGAACCTGTCAACATCGTCCTCAGTGTAGATCGGGACATTGCGACGAATGTCGCCAGGTACGTCTTCCAGGACTCGCCTATCCTGCGCTGATGAGACTCCTCTGCTGCGGGATCGATGGTGACTTGATGAGGCCGCCCCTTCCGCATTGACCATGTTGGCAGTCGGGCCGAAACGTTCGTTGGACCACGGATTGTCGTTGGGAAGGAACGAGCGAGTGTTTTGGGGAGGGGAGTCTGACATAGTCAGTAAAGTAAGGTGTTAAAGATGAAGGATATAGTGAAAAAGGGAAACGGAATAAGGAAGCGACGGAGGGGAAAGAAAAATTGAGAAAAATTGAGATCGGGGTAGTGACGAGGTGGTGATGAGTAGAAAGATAGGGGAAACGGGAAGAAGAGGGAGAGAGAGAAAGAAAGAGAAAAAAAAACGTGGTGGTTGGATGGGTTCGGTGAAGAGATAATTGTCGCAAGTCGAGGACGTCCTCGTGTAGCTTCAGTGATATTGTCACTCAGACAGAGTTCAGCCCCCTAGGTACCAAGGTATCGGGTTCGAGTTAGCTAGACTCTAGCTTACTAATGCCTTCGTTCTATTCACACGTCTGCGAGCACGGATGGGAAGATGGTGATTTTTGTCGGGTCGGCCCTACGCTGGGTGATAAGTTGAATCGATTGATGAGAAAGAAATTGATCGGGTCGGCCCTACGCTGGGTGACAAGGCGAGTTGATTGATGGATGAGAGAGAAATCGAGAGAAGGCGAGTTGATTGTTGGATGAGAGAGAAATCGATCGGGTCGGCCCTACGCTGGGTTTTTGCTATAGAAAGGTGAGATGAAGGCTCATAACCTGTTGAGGCATGAGATCATGATTCGAAAAAGGAATGAGGAAACATGTAGCTCTGCCTCGTGTCAGAGTGTCTAGTGAGTGGATGGTGACCCCAAAAAGGGGTTACAACAGTATGAAGCAATCTGTAAATATCTACATATAACTAAAAAAATGGCCTCAGAGGGCCAAACAAACTGTCAGCCTTTGTATTGATTTCTCATGCGGCTTCTAACGCCGGCGTCGATGTTGCACATTTCAATGTCATTTCCGACATAAGACTTTACAATCATAAAAAAAAAAGAAAGAACAAAAAAAAACAGAAGGCTATTACACCATAGGACTTCAAACAAGTAAAATCCCCAACATCCGGGGCAAAAACAAACCGCCTCCCCAAATTTGGGGGCATATACTAGTGTATCATATGTAGCTACTGTGTAATGTAAATGTACAGAAAAATATCTGTAAAACTAAGAATGAAAATAACTATTGATCCAGTAAGAAATGAAATATGGCTTGAGTGAGTGACTATATATAAAATTGGGTGTAGAATCTGAATATATCATAATAATGAAGGAAAACCAAGTGAATATACAGTGAAATAATAGGGGCTTTGGAAAGGTATGGGTTACCACATCCTCCCCCAACTTATTGTCTGTCCCAGACAATGCAGCCAGTATGAAGACAGAGGAATTAAGAAAAAGATATAAAGAGAAAAATATAAAAGAGAAAAATAACCAATGAGGGGGGGAAAGGGAATCCAGAAAGAGGTCCATCCAAAGGAGCCATATCCAGAGTCCAGGGTTGATCCACTTCAAGGGGGAGTATCTGTTCCATCCAAGAAGGCCAAGTCCTGTATCTAAAAATAAAACCAAGGAGGTAATCTGTATCCAAAAGAAAAGCCAAATCCAAAGTACTGTAATTGATCCAATCCAAGAGGCCAAAATATAATCCAGACATTGATCTACTCCAAGAAGGCCAAATCCATAGTATCCAAAAGTGAACCACCCTAAGGAAGGAGTATCTGTTCCAATCCAAAGAGGCCAAATCCAAATAAAACAAAGGTGAACCACTTCCAAGAGGCCAAGTCCAGATTCCAGGGTTGAACCAATCCAAGAAAGCCAATGTCCAGGTATCTAAAGAAAATTCTTCAAAATGGGCCACCCAATGGAGGAATTCTGTTATCCTTTCAATGAGGCCAAGTCCAAGAGTCCTGAGGTTGAAGTTCCATCTAAGAAATCCAAAGCCAGGTGACCAAAGAAAATCCAAGGGGAAAAAACTGAGTCCAATAGTCCAAAATAGTCCTAAGGCCAGTAAGAGAAAAAAAAGACTAATGATAATTGAACCACTTCAAGGGGGAGTATCTGTTCCATCCAGGAAGGCCAATATCAAGAGTAAGACCTAAGTTGATCATCTTCAAGCTGGAGTATCTGGTTCCAACAAGAAGGCCAAAGTAGGTAAAAGACTTCTGAAGTTGATCCAAGTCCAGGAGGAGTATCTGTTCCATCCAGGAAGACCAATCCAAAGGTAAGACCTGAGTTAAAAGGCAGGTAAGGTTGACAAAAGGGAAAAAAATCTGAATTCCAAAGTCCGAAAGAATCTGAGTCCAATGTCCAAAGAGGAAAGTATGAGATGCCAAAAGGGAAAATCCAAAATCCAAGGTCCAGAAGGGGTCCAGGGAAGTAAGAAGGTTTCTAATAATATGTAAAAGTAATATATCCAATAAAATAAAACTATGTAAAATATCTTATATTCAATCTAACTGAGAAATCTGATTAAATATGGGGGTTCAATCTAATTATCCTTAATTCTGAAAATTCACAAGTATATACCAAAGTCTGAAGGAGTTGAAGATATGTAATAACACAATAAGGGTGTAATAAAGGGGATGATTTAAACTAACTACTCCTGAAAAAGGCTACTAGTGATGACCAGAAAAGGTGAAAGATAACTGATTGGCGAAATGCCCTAAGGTAAGGAGGTGGTGGGAGGTAGAGGATGAATGGAAAATTCCAATGAGCAAAATATGCAAGGTTGGTTGAGGGTGAAGTTTAAAGTGCAAAATATGCAATGATTTGAGGAAGGGATTAAGCAAAATATGCAAGTTTTAGTAGAGATTTAAGTGCAAAATATGCAAGGGTAGACTATCTGGTAAGGATTATAATCTGATGATGAAGTGGGGGAAATTCTCAAAGATGTGGTGAATGAAGAGGAAATTGATGTCTGTTGTCCATGGTGGGTGAAAGAATGAATCCATGGATTGCTCAATAATGTTCATTGATGGAGGTGAAGGAATGTAGGTGCCAGGCCTGATGAGAGGTTTGGTGATTGGTAAATGATGGGATGACTGAATCCATGGATCCATGGTTGTTTTTTTTTTTCCAGGAAGAGTGAGTTACTAAATAGAAATTGATTGAAAATTGAATTTTGCATTGCTGGCCAAATTGGGTGGAGGTGAGGTTGAATGGAATCCTAATTGAGAAGCTCAAGAGTTGTCCACAAGAGAAATTTTACTGGAAAGGGAAAAGTAGGAGGGTTGTAATTAAAAGTGGAGGCATCCCCAAAAAGGTGTGAGTGATGATGGCAAAAAAAATCCAAAGAAGAATTCATGATGCTGGGGGGGGAATGGTCTGAGGTGGTGAGCTGTGCTGGAAAAATCTCAAATACAAACTGAAAACAGGAGGGAAATGATGGTTTTTTTTTATTATTATTATTGAGGGCAGGTGCACTGATGGTCTGTGCCAAGGAGTCTGTACCCCCCCTTCTGCTGAACACAGCCCTACTAGTACCAAAAAGGCTGCAGGGGTCCGCGTCATCGCTTTGACCGTCACTGAAGCTTGGAAAGTATGTACTCGATCTGAACCATACACGCACAAGGATGGCGACAAAAAGGAAACAGTACAATCTCAGCTGTCCAGTTGAAGCGCAGTCCTTGGCATTGGCCAAGAGACAATCCAAAGAAAATCTATCGGCGGTCATGCCGTCAATCGTTAAAAAAGAGAGAAAAACACTGAGAGCGCGGAGGTTCATAGTCGCTGAGAGGTCCTAGAGGCTGAAGATTTGTGTCTGATGACCGTCCGGCTGTCCCTGTTGCAATACCAAACCAAATGCTGGCCAAGGTCGTCAACCATTGCCGAACGAGATTTAAGATTCGTTTGTTGACAAGAAACATTTGTGCATTCTGGATCAAACATCAGAGTCGAAAGAGAATAGAAATTTTGTACAGTAGTCCGGATCGAACACCGACGTCAAAAGCGATTGATGTGTTTTAGAGCCGAAAGAACAAAAGAAAACAACGGTTGAGCCTGTCCGTTTGAAAGCGGTCGATTCCTCGGCAAGAACGTTGTCATATTGGAAAAAAAATCGGTAGTAGTGAGACCAAAACAATCGTAACATAGAGAGATTGAAAGAAAAGTTTCTCGCCAGCGAGATGTCTGAATACGCGATGCAGCAAAGGTTGAGTTAGAGAGAGCCGCGTTTTGAAAGAAGAAAGAGAATCCCAGACCGGTGCAGTGGTCAGTCGTTCGATATGATGATTAATAAAGAAAAGCAATGATAGAGAAACCAAAATAGAGTGTAACATAGATAGGTTGGAGAAGAGTCCTTTGCGAGCAAGAAGTCAAACAATCGAGGCGCAATATCAATAGCGGAACATGTCCTGAAATCGATTTGCAACAATCCTGAGGCAGAGTCCAATCAGATGATTGTTTCTAGTGTCTTCTCCCTAGTTTGGGAAATCAGAAAACGGTGTGTTGTGCCTCCAGAACCGAAGCATGCCAATGTCGGGGCTAGTTGATTGTTGTAGCTGATTTCAGCCAAAAAATAATTCATGAAAGGCTTTCCAAGGATCAGTGGTCCATTCTTCTGTGTAACTAGAAATGAGGTCGTTTCACTGATTCCTTCCATTGCTACGGTGGCTAAGGCTATTCCGGTGATTTTGATGTCTTCTTCACAAACCCCTGGCAGCCAAATGTCTTGAGGATGAACATCGAAGTCCACTTTACGAGCCTCTTCTTCTGAGATAAAATTAAAGAGCAGTCCCGGACACAGTGATCCTTCACAGTCGTATCCATTGACCTTGACTCCGATGGGTCCAAGAGAAGGGAGATTATCGACTACATGGCGGTTAGTTTCTTCTGTAGTTTGAGCTGAAGAAAGAGTGACTTTGCTGAGGTCCTCTTCCATTGTTGATTCTTCAGTAGCTGTGGTTGATGCAAGAGAGTAACTGAATTGTGTTGATGGGGGAGGAGAAACCAAGGATTGATGATTCTGAGTGGCTGAAAAGGTGTCCACTATGTCCTTGATAGGCCTCCAGGGATCCAAGAGTATAGGTGAGTTGTCCGAGAGCCAAAATTCAGAGCCAATTCTTTTGATTAATCCTTTCTGCTGATCATAGCTGACTATATGACACCTGGAAATGGTGTGGGCCTTTCTGAAAACAGTACAGGCATTTGAAATTCTTGGTGGATCTTGCAGGAGGTTTGCTGGAAGGGTTGGTGCAAGGAGTGAGGGAGTGGCCAGCCATGATTGAGAGGATTGGGAAATTTTTTTTTAAAGGACAGACTAAGATAAATGAAGATGAAAAATATTTGTTGTGGGTTTGTGGGGAATTAAGATGAAAAGGCTGCGGAAGGAAAGATGGAGAAAATAATTGTGGGTTTACAGATACTAGAGTGAGTGATAAGAAACTGTGCTAGAGGTTTATAAGACTGAAGAATAAGGAGGAATTCAGCCACTGTTGGGACACCACTTGTGGAACTGCTGAACAATCAGAAACAGAGCTTGGAGGGGAAATAGACAACTACACTACGAATAATGTAAGTTGAGGCTATGGGTGCTGTTGAGGCTGCCCTCCTGTACAATGCTGGAGTTAGGAAGAGTTACACTAAGAAAAAGAAGAAAGGTGTGGCTTGTATTGTAGTAATTCTTAGTGAGTTCTAGGACAGGGAGGTGTTATCAAGGTCTAGTGATAATACCACTGAGTGAATGAGGAGTGATGAGGAAGGAGGATTGTGGAGTGAGGAGTAAGGTTCAGAGGGTATGAGCAAGATATACACGAGGGGGTCAAAGGGTAATGTGAAAAATATGCAA